TGCAAATTTTATTCATTCCATGTTGTAAGTTTTTAACAGAGATAAACACGAACACAACCCTCTGAAAATCAAGATAAAACTCAACATCTCAATATTTATAAACAACATTTTAAATATGCATGAAAAATCGAAGCAACAACTCAAATCCCATTAAAAATAACAGATGTTTTAATTTGAAATTATTACGGCTCTAACCTAATTAAAGATTCCCCCATCAAAATGGCAACAGATGACGACAAAAGAGCGCCAATTACAACCGTAGAACGTGGACAGGAAACAGATGTGACCAATAGAATTATACATGCCGGTTAACTGTTTATCTACATGTGTGGGCTGTGTGGGGTATGTGGGGTGTGGGGGTGTGAGGTGTTCTTTATCAACATTATGTAGGCTGTGTGGGATGTTTGGTAATATTATTTGAATACATAACAATTATTTACAAAAACAAAAAGTCGAATTCTCCTGCTAGACCTCTGTTGTGGAGTTTGTTGTGGATGTGGTTTCCCAACCACCCACATGTGACAGCCAGAAATGACCAACAAAGTTTGATATTTGCTTAGACCACGTGATGTTCCGAGTTCAATGACCATGTTTACATTCAATTGGTCTTTGATGACGTCACCAAGCCACGCCCACTTGTGGGGAGAGACTTACATGTCGGCTGAGGTCAATGACCCCATTTACTGCATTACTTGCTATTGTGGTGGTAAACATTTAGTGACATCCAGCTTATTGTGACATCAAAGATATAGTGACATCCAGCATATAATGACATCCAGCATATAAGGACATGCATCATTTGATGACATCTATCATTTAATGAAATCTATCATATAATATCCAGCGACTTTCAGTCCGTAGTGACTTCTGCTAGCTGCTGTGTATACAGGCCCCAAGATTTATGTAGGGTATTCAGCGCCCTTCTGGGGAGGTGAGTTATTCAGCGCTCCAAGATTTCGGTGGGGTATTCAGTGCCCCAAGATTTAGGTGGGGAATTCAGCGCCCTAAGATTTAGGTGGGGTGTTCAGCGTCCCAAGATTTAGGTGGGGTATTCAGCGCCCTCCTGGGGAGGAAGGGTATTCAGCGCCCTTTTCGGATGGTGGGTATTCAGCGCCCTATTATTGAGGCGAGTGTTTCAAAGTAATATTCAGCGCACCAAAGTAATATTCAGCGCCCCACTGGGGAGGTGGGGTATTAAGCGCCCCAGGATCATGGTGGGGTATTCAGCACCCCATAATTGAAATGGTTGATTCAGCGCCCTTTAAGCCATGTTTACCATCCGTGACGCCTGTATTCAATGGCTGTCGATCCACTTGGCGGGCTCCGCTGTTTACGTTTGATGAAATTGATGGATGGCATCCCTCCACAGCGCGAGATATTTTTACCAACCAATGAAATCCATCCATCATGAGAGCGGCCACGTGTTTGGACCACGTGACCGGTGTACGGCTAACCCTATCTCTGGCGTGTACCCGAGGTGTTGGCTGTGTGGCTCGTGTTTGCCATGCTAGCTGCTCCGTCTCTCATCTTTTGTTATCACATTTGTTCTATAGTTCCATTAAACCAGAGCCGGCCATTTGGATTATAAAATGTATGGTGCAGAAGGGCGGGGGAGGGGGGGGGGGGCACTAGATGCCCTGGGGTGCACTGGAAGTGTCCAAGGAATTTTTAAAAAGGGCCCCCAACCCTGGTTGAAATTTTCATTGTGCATTTCTTCTCCATCATAGCCTGTTAATACATTACCTTTCCTGTTTATCTGAACATACTTTATATTACAGTTAAAGTTTATGGAATAATTACAGGACATGACAGAGGCGTAGCGACCCTTCCAGGCGTCCGGGGACAAACTTTCGATTTGCACCCCCCTCAAGATTTACATTTGCACCCCCCCCCCCCTTCAAACTTTTGATTTATTTTTCCAACCCATTTTGCCGCCCCCTAAGGTCGGCGCCCGGGACATGTGTCCCACCCCCCCCCCCCCGCTACACCTCTGGGGCATGATGAGCTAGGATGACGATAGAACCTAGAACACGCCGAAGTCTGATGGTTGACACGTGAAGGAGTCATACACTGCTTCATTTAATACACGATACGCTCTCGACTTTACATTTAAAACCCAAAGGAAGATAGATCTATATTGGTGAGGAAAAGGGGGAGGGGCAGCTTGATGGGATGCCGACAACTACTAATATCAGCGCCAACTAATTTGTAAAACAAGGATTTAACACGGAACCAACTGTATCCAACTCTAATTAACATGTCTCCCACACCGACCCCCGACCCAGTGGCGTAGTTAGGTCGGGTGTCACCTGGTGCGGCACCTCGTGGCGTCACACCTCCCCCCCCTCAAATTATATTAGATATTTATATATATATTAGTATATAAAGTCTACATAGGCATATATATATATATATATATATATATATATATATATATATATATATATATATATATATATATATATATACATATACATATACATATATATATATACATATACATATATATATATATATATACATATATATATATATATATATATATATATATATATATATATATATATATATATATATATATATATATATATATATATATATATATATATATATATATATATATATATATAGTTGTAATACGTATCATCCCCTCTAATTTTGCCTAATGGCATCAACTTGTGCACACATTATATTAATCCACCAATTAATTAATATGGAAAAGGCAACGTTTTCATCGTAATTTAATATTTTTGTGTCACCACCTCACCGGTCGTTGATTGACTAATCAGTTATTCAAAATACTCAACCAAACCTTTTTTCCTCTGTAAAGTTTGTAGTTGGTGTTACACTGTTCCCCCCCCCCCCCCCCATTTTTTTCGGGTGATAGTTTTAAGTGTGCACAGTTAATAGTAAAGATGTTTATGCATAGTCAGTTATGAACTCTAGGATCAACTCTAATTAATAATTAATTGGATTGGCAAAAAGCATATTTGTTCTAAATATTTTGCAACTTTTCGCCGTGGTGTCACCCCCCCCCCCCATAAATGATGTCAGATGGTGTGATCCGAACCACCCCCCTCCTGCCCTCGCCTCGCGACGCCTCTACTGCGACCCCCGGGGTTTGAAGGGAATGTGGGGGATATTTAATTTCTTTTCAGCAAGTTAGTCAAAAACATTTTAGTCGACATTAAATATAATTATTCAATTGTCGCAGGAACGGATATTTTAATCCCTAGCTCGGGTAGTTATAACTGCCTCTCCGGACAATTAGTCGGACATATTCTAGTAGGGCCTACATCAAATGTTAATTAGAATGTAATGACCAGATTGATAGTTCTGTATTGTGGTCATTAGAAGAGAATAAACTTGGTTTATTGTTTGATTGATTGCGTTTTAGTTTGACAAACTCAGAAATTAAAATTAAAGTTGAAATAATAGACCTGACTTAATTAGCCCGGACTTAATTAGAGCGGACTTAATTGTTTTAAACTTTGTTGACAGAACGTTTGGACTACTGCCTGTAGCTATATTTAGATGACGTGTGTGGAATCATTCCACACGACAAAACTAATTCGGTAATTGCGAGACTTTATCACATAAATTGTATTAAAAAAAATTAAGTTTTTTTAATGTTTTTATTTAAGAGCAATTATTAATTAAAACGGTTTTTGGCTTACGTCGATGTGTTATGTAACATTAATTATTTAACGTGCAATCAATGTAGGCAACACGCCCACCTCAAGCATGACACTCAGTCGGTCATCTCGTGGCTGATCACGTGACTTTTAGACCCAGCTTGCCCGCCCTCACAGACCTACCATTGCTAAAGCCATTCTAACACAAGAGGCTAAACGCAAAAAGTTTTGTAAATTAAATAATAGAAAGATTTTATATTTGTTTTCCACATTGTAGTCTATAGAAGTGAAGTCGACACTACATAAGCCACGACCAGAGGCGTAGCGAACAGGGGAGGGGGAGTGACATATGTCCCCGGGCGCCGTCCATAGGGGGCGCCAAAATGGGTTGAAAAAACAAATTGAAAAGTTGGGGGGGGGGTGCAAATCGAAAGTTTCTCCCCGGGTGCCGGGAAGGGTCGCTACCTCTCTGGCCACGACCTAAAATTTTTTCTTTAAAACCCAATCATTTGCTTGTGGAATCTAAAAGACAGTTCTCTGCCATTATTTAGTTCGTGGCCGACCCTAAGAAGAAATCAGCCAATGGTAACACACAGTTTAAAGAAATCAACCAATCATAACACACAGTTTAAAGAAATCAACCAATCATAACACACAGTTTAAAGAAATCAACCAATCATAACACACAGTTTTAAGAAATCAACCAATCATAACACACAGTTTAAAGAAATCAGCCAATGGTAACACACAGTTTAAAGAAATCAGCCAATCATAACACACAGTTTAAAGAAATCAACCAATCATAACACACAGTTTAAAGAAATCAACCAATCATAACACACAGTTTTAAGAAATCAACCAATGGTAACACACAGTTTAAAGAAATCAGCCAGTGGTAACACACAGTTTACCATCGACGTTCATCTGACAGAACAATTGCTAGTTGCTAATCTTGTTATCTCCCCTTTTATTATTAAGGGTAGTATTATTAAAATTATTATTTTAAATAACTAACCTAATGTGTGATTAGACTAGAAAATATATGTCATTGCACTGTCGTCGAAGAAACATGTGTCTTGAAAGGGTAAACGAAATCGCTTCAACAGAAGTGGCTCAAAATTGAGTTACAAGATTTGCTATAAACCCACATGCTGACATCTTGAACTAAGTAAAAGCTTGTAAAAAGGGAATGCATAAAATACAACAACAACAAAAAAATAAAAAATAAAAATTATTTTTTTAAAAGTCGAGAAACTGCTTCAACATTGAAAAATTTAGAGTTACTATAAGATAAAAAAACAAACAAGTTTAAATAAAAATACAACAACGTTATACTTCTGTTGATTCTGTAATATATTTATATCTGATGAAAAAACGCTGCTTGTCCCCTAGTCTTCACTGACTCAAATACATTCAATTTTAAATTTTGATCTATTTGTTAACGAAATTTCAAAACTTTTGCTTAAACCCTTACATGAAAGTAAACTTTGAAAGGTCAAAAGAAAGGGACATTTTGTTATTTTTCAGATAAAATTTAAGTTTTCAACGTGGGTTTTCAATCTTTGGATTTTTGCTTAGAAAACATGAATTTTATGAGAATATTTATTTTTGTTATATGTATGGTCCTACCTACTGGCTACACCCCAGCATTATTCTGTTTCTTCAGTCACTTTTTAATACATTTTTGTGGAGCAAGATGATACATTGAGTGGGGTTCGAATGTTACGTAAATTCACAGGTGGCCATAATCGCAGATATAACAAGAAATTATATTTTGACCCAGTAGCGTCACCAAGTCGGGGGTCACCAAGTCGGGGGTCACCAGGTCGGGGGTCACCCGGTGCGGAAACTTATAGTGTGATACATCCAAATGTATTTAACTCTAACTAGTTTCTTGTCCAAATGGACTTAGCTTCATTTGCTGTTAAAAATTTGATTTTATAAACACCTTACAGAACACTGGTCAAGAAACCAAGGAGATGACTCATCCAGCCCTCCTCTAAACTCACGTCTATACCGTTTAAAGTTACGTTACAGTTTTTGGTCGGATGACTGGCGATTGCCCTTCTTATTATCTGTTTGCAGTCATATTCTTCACTGGCGAAGGCTTGCACTTTTAGTGACAAGGTTTCCAAATTATGACACCTATAACAAACAAATAGCTCAGTCAGTTTTAGTGACAAGGTTTCCAAAATATGACACCTATAATAAACAAATAGCTCAGTCAGTTTTAGGAAAGTAGGCTTGAAATGGTGTTATACTTTTGAACTTTAGGACTGTAGTTTTGAAGGATTTAATTTTATTCCAACTTAAGGACTGCACATCGTAGGTCGCTAAGACAATATGGCATAGAGGCTGGAACTACGGTAGTAGACAATATGACATAGTGACTGGGACTACATTAGTAGACTATAAGATGTTAAATACAATATAGTATAGGGGCTGGAACTACGGTAGTAGACTGTAAGATGTATTTTTGGAAATTACAGGTCGTCAGGTCAGCCGCACTTTAGGCCTTATGACTCGGTTCGTATTCTAGTAGGACAATAGGACCACAGGGCAGTATAGTTGCTGGGCAGGACTATACTGTATACTAGTAGGACAATAGGACAACAATGCAGCTGACTCCATTACCTTTTGATCATGTCTCCAAAGAATTCTTTATTTTTAAACAATGTTAGATCAAACTGGAGATGACGTAACGTGTTCTATGAAGAAAAAATTATATTATATTCAGCTTCTCAGTTGTACTTTAAATAACAACTTTAATTAACATTTAATTAGCCCGTCTATACTCATATCTTCTCAAGCTTTATTGTCTACATTACACATGTAAAAATATGCTCTTAATATAAAATAAAATAGCAACACATTCCCAATTTTAGATTTTGAACAGAACATTCACTATATCAAACTTGATCCTAATTCAAGGAAACTAAGGTGATAACCCATTCCAGTGTTAATATCCTTGCAATGTCCCGTATCAGGTATTTGAGGCCATCGACCTATCTCATACTAAATATACATGGTGCTACTGTTGGAATAGGGAGTTACAATATGTAGAAGCTGGCGAAAAGAGCCTAGACAATCCACCAAAAGTTGAATACAATAAGGTACAGGTACATAACCAGTAGACATCGTATCCACTCAAATGTCACTCTTTTAACATATTGATATAATATTACAATAAGTAAAACATGACCATATTGTGGGTGTTGTCCGATTCATTTAGTGAGACAAACCTGAAAGTTGTCGGCGATGTGGCTAATGCAGTCTTCATCAATCAATAACATTATACCACAATGGAGTTTATGAAGTGGCATTGATGGGACAAGCATGTTAGACATTTCAGACCGGTAAACCTTAGTCAAATAGAAATTACAATGGCTGATTTGTGGATTTTAGGAATCTATAAAAAAATAGAAACTTGGTGAGTTAGTCAATGATAGAAACCCAGGATAGAAACTTGGTATATTTGTTAAAATTAAATCCGAAATACATGTAATTGGTGCATTTTTACATTCTCGTATACTGAGTATAGACGAAGTATTGTAATCGTGCAATAAATTCACATTAAATTCTAAAATCAAGATTTATCAAAATGTCGGCGTTTTATTCGTATTCGAGTAAAAAAAACTGGGCTTTGCAATTCTGTCCGTGTGTGTACGTATGTATGTGTGTGTGTGTGTGTGTGTGTGTGTGTGTGTGTAAACACAATAACTTGAGTACCCTTATAGCCAGGTTGATGAAATTTCATATATAATTATTATATTAAATTTGTTGTTCTGTATCAACTTTTCAGCGATTTCCGATAAACGGAAGTGGAACTTATTCTACTTTTAAAAGCCTATAACTTGAGTTCTGTTTCAGATAGATAAACGAAATTTCACAAATAAGTAAAAGATCTTATTTTCTCATTTGAACTCAGAGATACTTTACGTGATGGCCCATTAAAGAACATTATCTGAAACGCCATTGACAAACATACATAAATAGGTGTTAAATACACGATTGATTTGTACATAGATATAAATATATTTATTGATGAACCTGTCGATACTCACAACCGCCTCTCCGATAAAAAATTCAACTTTGAGTTTTGGACAAGCAGACGTCAGGGACTGCCAGGCTGGCGATGTGATATAAGTTTGGGGGATGTAAATATCAGCATGAAGTGACATCAGCCGCAGGGTATTGCTGGCTGTTGCAGCAAGCAGGTTTAGCACAGTGTCCGACATGCAGAGGTAGTCGAGCTGTAGTACTGCAAAAGTTTTTTGTTCGGTTAGAACGGATACTGCCCCCCCCCCCCCAACGAAATAGAATTAATATGAAAATATGTACGATTACCAGTGTCCCCCCCCCCCGGGAGATAAAGTTCGAAAAGAAAACTTGAAATGTTGGTTATTTCATGGTTCAGTGTCAAGGTGTCTTGTAAAATACAGCAGTGGAGAAAATATCCTTTATAACCACAAAAAACTAGAACTACTCTGTGACATCCGTTATACAATCCACCTATCTATCTATATACTACAAAAAACGAGAAACTATTATATTTATTTTCTGTAAAATACGTATTTATTTAGAAAATAATTTTCTTTTTTCCCTAAATGTTATTCACAAATTTATTCAAAGACGATACGATATTCATTTGTAGAAATGCCCCTTTAATTATAAAAGTTCAAAACAAGAACTTTATTTTCACACAAAAATATTTTTATCGGCTTAGGGGTCGTCCATAAATGACATCACACTCGTAGGAAGAGAGGGGGGGGGGGTCCGTAATTTTGTGACGGTGTGTGATGAGGGGGAGGGTGGGGGGTCAAATGGTGCGACGTCACACTTTTGCATTTTAAAAAAAAGCAATGTTATAAAACGAATTTTAGCCGTTTTTTTTTTCGCGTTTTAGAAAACTGTTTTAATAAATTGTAATAGGAATCGATTCAAATATTTTGACAGAGTTCAGACAAGATTTTAGAAAAAATATCGGTGTTATAAAAAAAATTCAACTGCAATTTTGAGGGGGGGGGGGTTGTAGGCTGAGGTGTGACGTCATTTTAGGGGGGGGGGGGGGTGGGTCAGGCTTTTTGTGACGACGTGTGACGGGAGGGGGGAAGTAAAAATCGTCAAAAAAGCGTGACGTCATTTATGGATGACCCCCTTAGTGACGTCACTTGAATTATTTACTTATTTCACAGCTGACATGACAAACATGGCGGGCTTCCATGGAAGACCGTCTTGCCCATTCAAAAGTTTAACGCATTATAAAGCTAAATTTTTCTGTCTACTATAGCTTTAACAATATGCCTATTTACTATTTTTATAATGATCCAACACTATGATCAATGTTCAACAGGATACGCTTGGCAGTTCTTCTAATTATAGTATACAATAAATTTATCTTGATCTACCGATAAGCCCAACCAAAAAGTTAATTAGTTAAACAAAAAAAAATGTCAAAAACAATTTGTTAACATTTGTTAAGATTTTTTATCAAAGAAAATGTAAACATAATTAGCAGAAATAGGTCTATGTCGTGTGGTTTTAAAAAAATTAAAAAATCTAAAATCCCGTTTGTTTTAAATCTATGTTAACAATATGTTGGAGGGATTTTTGTTAACTCGGTAATTTCGATTGAAAACGAAATGATGAAACCCATATTAAATATTGCATCAGTTTTGTTTATAGATAAAGATTCGGATAATCCATAAACCTCTTATGGATCACTTGCGTGGCCAGCTACCACGTCCAAAAAAACTGGATTTTTGGGTGCTTGACAGGGAAAAAAGAGAAGCCCTAAAAGAAATAAATAAAATCAAAACGACACTATAGAGGAAGTATTGTAATCGTAAAAAGAAATCGTTTTACACCTCCTTGAACTAGACTATGTCTGCATGTCTATTACTTTAATGAATTTCCGTGTGAAGACTTTAACTACTTGATCACTTTATAAAGTACTAATAATTTTCCGCACTATTATATACATATTGTTTGGCGTTTGGTGCACAATTCTTTTTTCTACGAGATTCTTTTCCATTTTAAAAAGTAAAAGTAATTTTAAAATAGATTAAAAATCTTGTCTATAACCTAAGTTGCCATCCCCCGTAGTGTTATATAAGAATATACAAGAAAGTTTAGGAAAGATCACTCCTGGTTTATTTAATTTTAAGTATATTAACGCTTTTTTAGATTTCTAAAAAAATATTACTTCTACAATTCCGTTTTTTTTTTCATAACTTTTCACATAGGTCTAGACGACAATGCATTGTGACATTTGATTTGGTTAAATTAGATGCTAAAAGAGCTATCTACAAGTTAGTCAATATTTCATTTGTAAAGCATACGTTTTCCGCTCTAGTATACGCCCTCTGTTTACGTTAATTTGGTGTGCAATTTTTTTTTCAAAAGAAAAGCGATTATACGAGAAAGTTAACGGGAGATTACTCATGCTTTACTTAAATAAGTCAATTAATTTGAAACAAAGTAGAGAGCCAGAAAATTAAATAGCTGATGTAATTCGGTAAGGTTAAAAAAAGAGGATTTAGATAACATGGAAAGTTGACTCTGTAAAGAGATCAAGTACAGTAGAGTATGCTGATGTGTAAAGTTGATTATATGAAGATAAACATAATTTCCTTACACAACAAATCGTACATACGGATGTATATTTTTTTTTTGAATAATTAAAAATGCATTTTAAAAACATTCAACAATTTGTAAAATATTGAGACACGAAACATACCAGATAAATTGGTGAGACGAGACACGACTAAATCGAATTGCAGGTCATTTGCAACACCAGCTGAGAATTTGTTCTTGACCAGCCCGTTAATGTGGAGGGTGTGGAGTGTTGCATGGGAGTTTAGGGTGGCCGCCAACAGCAAGTCAAGACCTGGTTCAATAAACATTTAAAGTTTGGTGGCTTTAGTAGGGCTGGTACTTTATTGACTTTGGAGAACATTTAGACCGACGCTACTCACCTTCATATAGTTCAAGATCAGCGTTGCTGAGATCCAAAACTTGGAGTTGGTGCTGGTTTTTCAAAAGGGTCTCGAGTTGTTCCACCACCTCCCACCTGAGGTAGGCGTAGGATGGTCTTAACATATTCGTGTTTGTCAGGCAGAGAGTGACCAGTTTCTTGTTGTTATTATCTATTAGGGCTTCAATCAATAGACAAAAGAACCGTGTGCTTTTAATCTCTTCATCTTTCAACGCTGTAATAGAGTTAATATTTATTGTGTGTGTGTGTGTTTGGTTCTTTACATTTCAACACTTATCTTTATCCCTGAGTTTTTTTTTTTAGCTTGTGCCATTTGACTTAAAAATAAAAACTACTAACCTGTACCATCGGCTCTAATGTGCAGCAAAGATTTCCCCATCCTTCTAATGAAAGGGAGTAAATATTTATCATATTTGGTGTTTAACTTGAAGTGTCCCGTGCGCCACACGGCTGGACTAGAGAGTGTCAGTAGCCAGGATTTACACGTGAGAGCAGCGTGGTACCTGTCTGGGTTGTCCAGGTGTTGGAAGACTTGAACCAAGACCAGGTAAGGTAGACGGTTCCAGTCAATCCCTGTAAACTGTAGGGTGTGACGGGTTAGTAGAATCATAAGGGGTCAAAGGTTTAGTGCATGGAGAGGTCAAATGATTGCTTTCGAATTCACTTGCATCAAACAATACAAAAAATGTTTCAAGCCGATGTTAAGAATACGGCGGGTGGTAGAGTTGCATATTCGAAAATTTTTATCCCAATCAATGGTGCCTGTTGAGCTCTATTCTCTGTACATTTAATCCTGCACCAATAGGGGCAAGACACAAATCACCTGCACCAATAGGGGCAAGACACAAATCACCTGCACCAATAGGAGCAAGACACACATCACCTGTACCAATAGGAGCAAGACACGAATCACCTGCATCAATAGGAGCAAGACACACATCACCTGCACCAATAGGGGCAAGACACAAATCACCTGCACCAATAGGAGCAAGACACACATCACCTGTACCAATAGGAGCAAGACACACATCACCTGCACCAATAGGGGCAAGACACACATCACCTGTACCAATAGGAGCAAGACACACATCACCTGCACCAATAGGGGCAAGACACAAATCACCTGCACCAATAGGAGCAAGACACACATCAATTGCACCAATAGGGGCAAGACACACATCACCTGCACCAATAGGGGCAAGACACGAATCACCTGCACCAATAGGAGCAAGACACACATCACCTGCACCAATAGGGACAAGACACGAATCACCTGCACCAATAGGTCGCAAGACACAAATCACCTGCACCAATAGGGGCA